TTTGAACTGACAACTATGCATATGTTGATATCGCTTATGCTTCTCTGCAAATGATATAAAACCAGTCATACGATACCTAGAGCTCTAGCATAACAGTATTTAAAAAAGCAAACTAATTACATTTCTTTGTATGATGCTGTTTTTTGTCTATCTCTAATTTGGCTTTCTTGATTCATATTGTAGTAATGAACGTTCAGGCATATACATAAATCAAGTAATTAATAAAGTTCTTATACAGAAAAATTAAACCCGGTCTTATGGGCTTACTAGCATATCGCTAGTTTTTGATACCGCCGCTAAGATATAATCCTTTATAGTTTTGATACCGGACTGAAGCGGCATAAGCACCGGACTCTTGCTTATAGCAGCCTAGGAGCCCATTTAAACAGGCCTCGGCTCCATGGCATTTGAGCACCTGCGGTGTGTGGATGCTAAACCTGCGGATCGTGGCATATTTGCAGCTGTCCGAACAGACTCTTGTTCGGCCCTGCCTGGTGCTGCGGGTTTGCATCCAGGCACCGCACGTGCTCAAATACCATGGAGCCTTGGGTTGCTTAAATAAGCCCTTGGACCACCGCTGGAAGCAAGGGGCCGGTCTTAAGCCGTTTCTGTCCGATTTCAAAAACTAAAAAGGATAATAAAACTTGTTCTTTCTCATGTAGTGTTAAAAAGGTTGAAAGAAGTCACCGGCTTAATTTTTTGAACATATCTCCGTTGCGACCAGTAGCTCATTTTCAAGCGGCGTTGCTAGTTTAGTCTTACTTTTCATGCCTGCGTTGACTTTAACGCTAAGCATTTGCTTCCTGTTTCAGGTATTTCGTCAGCGCATCTGCAGACTACCCCGGAAAATTCATACTCGCCTATCTTATTCGTGATAAAGTTCGACAAGAGTTCATTTCCGTTGTTCCCCAAGGCTTTCGTTTCCGACACCAGGTGTTTCGGCTGTTTCCGGGTCTGCTTAAATGGTTCAAAAGCCATTTCTTAGATCCAATTCCCGGTTTGTGGTTAATTATTTGTTTCGCTAGTATCAAACATTAATCGATATGCGTTTTAGGCGTCAGTCAAGTAGCAAACACGCCAATGCAGAGTCAGTCAAGTATCGCCAGTAAGTAATTCTGATCTTTTTTTTCGAAACTTCGTCGATGACGTGTTTTGTTTGTTTTAGCGGGTACTCCTGGATTTGACGCTGCCTCCCGGACAGCCGCTGCAGGAACGCCTGGTCGCATACCGTTAAATCCCGTCGGACAGTGGCCATCTACTGATTCGATGTCTTCCGCTTCGCCGTTCATCACGAAACCAATGGTGGCGAAAATCATTTACTGTATGCTGTATGGTTTGAATCTCTTTTTTGTATTTCAGCAGTACCCTGGACCAACGCCGTCAGTGGCAAGTTCGGTGATAGGCACTCCGCGCTTCAACCTTCCACAGACGCCCGGACAACCTCGATTTTTCCCTCCGCCAGCTCAACCACCTTGGTCCGAAGTGATCCAGCCACCACTGCAGTCCCCTGCTACTGCTGCCGCCGCTGCCGGTCAGTTCCAAGCGATGAGTCTGCATTCCCCAGCTCGCTTTCAAAAGTAATGTTGTTTTCGTCCTTTATGCACTTGATTTGCAAATTTAAAGTAACATAAGCAGTTCATGAATAAATGGGAGAGTGGGAAAACAAGGTCAGATAACAGATTTTTCTAATACACTGCAAATTCAGCAGTCAACTCTCCATCTTTTCCATGATCCAATATGTGATCTACAAAGATTGTGGGGCTCAACTGTTCACCGTTCATCCACTTGTGTATCCTTGGTTAGGCGCTCTTCCTTTTTCTTTATTTGCTATTATTGCGGCTATGCAGAACTACTTATTGAATATTCCCTTTACCGCGCTATTACAAAGGCACCCTGATCTACTGCCTAAGCATACTCAGGATTTGTCGTGGTATGAGAAAGAATCAATGAAGGTCTTATCTCAGCCAGCCGGATTTTTTCATACCAGCTCTTCTCCATCACCATCAAATATGGGTCGAAAACAGCCGACTTGCAAGATGATTTAAAGCAATTACAAGAACCTCATAATTGAAATTGATCATCTGCGCCAATAAATTGCTGCAAGATATTCTCATTTATACACTGAACTATTTTAAGTAAATTTACAACATGCGATCTCTACAGACATTGACAAGTGATTTAACTGTTCAACTGCATCTTCCTCCTTGTTGTCATCAAAATGATCAGATTTGTTGGCTTGCGAAGCGGTAGATGATTCTAGAGCACCTATTGGCTCTTTTGTTCTTCCTCTCAAAAGTTTTTACATGAGTTACGCGCTTGTTCTTCAATGTCGCATAGCGTGCAAGCGATCTATCAAATCACCGAGTGTTTGCTTCTCATTTTTTAAATCTTTGTGTATCTTTCGTTTCCTCTGTTTTTCTGCCTCTTTTTAAACATCTCGCCATTCTATACTTAAGTATTTATTGTAAATCAGGATCTTCGGGTCTTTATTTAATAAATGCTATACGGGACACATTCAGAAAGTTTGAATTTTATATACGGGATGTAGTATCAAGAAATAGTAAGTTTTCTATGGATTAAACATTTCAAATTACATTCTCATGCAAGACAGCGGTTTGCACGTCGGATGTTATGCTTCCATTTAGCGAGGTGAATTTTTCTGGTTTAAACACGGATGTAAATCGCTTAAGTGAAAGAACCCATTCACACAGTACTCAAAAACTGTAATGTTATCAGCAGGGTTGTTCGATGGATCACCACTAGTACTGAAGATTTATTTAAAATTGATTGTACTATTGCAATAATTGATAGCATCAGCATTTCACCGATCCTCTTCGTAATTAAATGGAACCATCATTGCTTGCCTAGACGCCCAGGTTCATGTGTCTCCTTCGATTTGTCTCACCACAAGTTGTCACCTCGCTTGTAGCTCATCGCTCAATGTGAGCCGAAGTTCTCCAACTGTGCGATTGCAGTACCATGGATACCATCCCGTCTCGAGCTGCACCATAGGACTGGGGGGAGGCATTTCTGTCTGTAGTTTCGATTTCATTCGATGTTGGCAAATGGTTCTGGCTACTGTCCACGCCTGCCAGAAGTCTTGGAAAGAAATCTCTGTTTGCCCATCTTCCAAGTCATATGAGTTTCCATATGACGGCTCTCTGCGACTTAGCCTCCTTTGATTTTACTCATTGAGCTCAGGCACAGTTCTACTTAAGTGATTTCTTCTTTGCCCCATGGAGCGGTGGTTCGTCTCACGGAGGATTGAAGCAATGTTTTTTGTTTTTTGACGATATTACGTGTCGAAACGCATCGTGCTTAGCTTTGACATCACAGTTATGGATGAACCAATGTTACCAATGGATGAACAATCATGCATGCACACGATTGAATACTGTTTTGGTAGCAGAAACATTTAGTTGATTAGCTGCTGATAGCGTATAATTTTGTCGACTGGCATGCTTAGATCTGTGTTGGCTATTGAAATCAGAGTATGCTATAAATTTTTATCTCTATTGCCCTTTTATTTTTGAATTATTGTTTGATGATTGTTGAAGCACAAAAAAATATTTTTTAAAGCATTAATTTATTTGTTTCAGACCTGGGGCTGGCGCTGAATGGTCAAATACTGCAAGAAATTGGACTCGCCGGTTTAATAGTCCTCCTAGTGGTGATAGTTTCGATGAAGATGTTAAATTTGACACTGCCTCTACTTTTAACGGTGGACATCGCGGTTTCAACCGCGGCGGCGGATTTTACCGAGGCAGTCGGAACTTTACTCCTAGTCGTGGTGGACGACGTGGCTATCTAATAAGATTAAGATAACAGAGACAATCTGTTTGTTTGTTGTTTTACGTGTACACAAGTTTATTCATAATATAATAAAGATATGAGTC